GTGTGTGTGTGTGTGTGTGTGTGTGTGTGTGTGTGTGTGCACGTATGGCAGTCGCCTCAGCACAGTAAAGGACCATACACCATATCACCGCAACACTTCAGGAGGAGAATACACATCTGAGTGGAGTTGAGTCCAAAGGCAGTGAAAAGACAATAAGCAGCGGAAAGGAAACAGACAGGCAATAAGCAGCAAGGGCTGCAAGGCAACACAGAGGTTGGAGGGCATGGGGGAGGTGGGAGGGCACACAAGACAAGCAGAAAAAAGGGGGAAAAGACAATGACCGACAAGTAAGAAAAACTATCGAGTCCCAAAAAACAGAGAGTGAAAAGAAAAGAAAAACTTGAAAGAACGTGAGAGCAGCATCGACTCATCAGGTGGCTGAACCCTCGACAGTCTACATGATTCCCTCGTAGCCAAGCTTCAAACCCTGTTGCAGATGGGCAGGCACGAAAACATGCAATGCAACATTTAGCAAAGTAAAGCAGGCAGGCAGCAAGGTGAGCAGGCGGGCAGGCGGGCAGGAAGGCAGGCATAAAACAAAGCAGCAAGACAAGGCATGGCAAGCAGCAAGGCAGTGAGGCGGCAAGGCAACAGGGCAGGAAGGCAGCAAGATGGCTCGACAGCGAGGCAGCAAGGCAACAAGTTATCAACAAGGAAAGGCAAACAGCAGGGAAGCCGAAGGTACTAGAAGGCAAGGCAGGTGTAGCCGAAGGTACTAGAAGGCAAGGCAGGTGTATCAACAAGGCAAGGCACACAGCAGGGAAGTTGAAGGTACTAGAAGGCAAGGCAGGTGAGGAGGCAGGCAACAACACTGTAATGCACATGTTCAGCAAGGATGAAGGCGTACTACAACCTACTCACACAGTATGGGAAACACCGTGGACTGTGGGCTAATGCATTTAGCATCATCAACTGGTGGTTTAATGAATGAAAGCTCCTACGGTCACGGACTTGCGATCATCATCATGGACGTTGTCGCATTATCTGAATGTTGTTGGATTACCTACCATTAGGACAAACAACGAGAGCATGCTTAAGGATGTTCAATTGCATAAAACGTTGCATTCGCTCTACATCTAAAAGTGCAAGTTGCAATGTTTGGGGCAATGTTTAATTTCAATTTTTTGAGCCAAAAAAAAAAGAAAAAAAAAAGGGGCAATGTTTAATTTCACTGGTGGTGCAGTGGTCGTGTGTCCTGTCTCATGTGTTTCATATGTCGTTCACAAAAGCCATCCCCATGACAACTCTGGCTTGCTCGACAGAGCAACACAAAGGGAAGGATAATATCCTCAGCAGCACGAGCAAGTCAGTCAATAATTCCCCTATCAAGTTTATTGCAGCATGACAAATAACTTGAAATCAGGTTCATTAACATTTGGACATGGGCGAACGGGTTCTCGACCTTCAAAAATTTTGCGAAGCTTTCGCAATCGTTTGCCAACCCTCGACCTCTTTATTATGGGCGTAGCATAGTTCAGCATACCAGTAGCCGGAGTGGTTGAATGCCTGAATTACGCAAGCAAGGTGTTGGGTTCAAAGTCTGCTAGTATCAAACAACAAATCTTCGGTTGAATGCACTGATGATTCTGCAACGGCATGTCGCAGGGGATTGCGAGAGGTACGGCTGGCGCACCCAGATAGAGCGGCGAGAGGACAACGCCACCACGGCCCTCCCAACAGTTCGCGGGATTACTTAACGCATTTGCCCCAAGTTTTCTCTTGGTTTTCTTTATTTCCTACACGAAGTGGCCGGGAGAGAGCCGATGCGCTCGACACCACGCAAAGGAAGGGGAATCTTGGGGAGGCCCTGGTAAGGGATGATTTCTGGCCACAACTAATAAAAACCTGGAGA